ATCACATCTATTCAATTTAATATAAATATATATTTATATTCATTCACTTTAATCCTGCAATATACATTAAAAAAAATCTGTATTTTATAAATTTATTAAACACACCTCTTTGGGCCGACGTGAACTTTGTCTTTTAATACAAAAGCAAGCAAATTTGTCTTGTAGATTTCAAATGAAACGATTGAAATCATTCCTCTCCATTTCGTATTTCGAATAATAGACTCGGGATTACAAAATGCGAATGCAAACTCTCCATCTAGTATTGCTTTCTCGTCCTCTTCGTTTGACAGTGAAGTAACACGGCATCCACGCTTTCTTAGTTCACGGACGTGAGAGTCAATGAAAGAGTTCAATTTGCAAATGACTATTAAGATGGGTTTCTCCAGAAAATTGTGGCTTTTGCCAAGTCGTCGTGCTACTCTCGGTGGTAGAACTTTGGAATATTAAACTCTTCCCATAACCGATAGCAAGATGCAAATACATCTTTAATGTGAATCAAATTGGACAAGGCGCGGTATTGATGCTCCGTTAAACTTTTAATTCAGGAAATTTATCAATCTATCTATTAATGCAGCCTATAAAACAGCTTCTTTCAACTTTTGTTCGTTTATTGCTGCCGAAGGCAGCCTCCTATTCTTGACGATGTGTTATAGCGCATTTGAATTCCCCGCCAAATGAAGTATCGCGTTTACTTGTGTCCAGTCTCTTTGCCCGAGCTATGTATTGTCGAGATCTCGATTTTGTGTCTGTCTGTCTGTAAAGATGTCGTAATTCCGGGGAAATAATTAAGGCTTCAGGAAGTTTTTTTAAACGAGGGGGGTGGTCAAACTTTATTTGGGGATCAAGTTCTTCTCAAGGACAGTTACGAGCTTATTTACATTTTCATGATGGACAATATTTTCAATAATTCAGGTAAGGATAGCTTTATTTCTTTTTGGTAATATACATGAAGGCATTTACAGTATATTTAGAACACTGTGATATTTCATGAATTTAGATTCAGCATGAATTTCAGCATTTACCCTGCGGCTGCACTGTCACTGATCGTCTTTATAGTTAAATATACAAGTTGAAGTAGTCAAAATCTGTTTTTAGTTTATTTGTTTGTGTGGTTATTTCCAAAGGCGACGAGTTTATAGTGTTTATTCTACATGTTTATAGCAATGTGCTTTCAGCACGTTTTAAAAACAAACGTGGAATGTTGTGTAGCAGGGCTTATAATCAGGCTTAATATTTAATATAAAGATATCCCTATAGCAATCCAGTGTGGTATAATAGGAGGGGTGGCCAAACATTTTCTAGTGGGATGCAAGCAGCACAACCAAGCTTCGGCAGGTTTTAGGATGAAAGACTTTCACCCAAAGTAGGAGGGCTGACGTGAAATTTTGGTGGGGTTGAACACTTTATAACACCTTGGGGTGTTATACTCGGTACTAACCCCCCAGGCCCAGTAAATCTGCCCATGGTTGTCTGCACATATTAACTTACCAGCAGTTATGTAATAGCATGTCAACCGACTTTTGTACAAGGTATGACGGTTTGTAAAAATATATCTCTGAGATACCGGGGTATGTCCATTGTTTGCATATTAAATAAGTCACTACATTTCAGGGTATACTATATTTTCTTGATAATGCTCACAATTTCTCTCCTACTAATATACAGTTTTGAAGTTATGACTGAGTGCAATCTTAATTAATCATTGGCATTAATGAATGGTGCCATCTGAAGCTGATGTATTAAATTAAACAAAAATGACAGTTGTTCTGTGATAGGGGTAGTTTTGTATTATAGTATTTCTATACATGAAATTGTTATTAAATTTTACATGTCTAATGATTCATTCAAGTATTATTATTATACATTTAATATGTATTCTCGTTTCTAATTGGTCAGAAAGCACCGGCTAATTTTCAGTATTCGGCATTTATTACGTATTTTTCGCCGATGACGTCATCAGCGTCCAATAATTGTTTTTTTGGATCGAACTTGCATCCAAAAAAAAAATTATTGGACTCTCTCGTGCCCAAACCCTTGCGCGGCCAAAAGCTTGAACCATAAGCGCGCGAAAAAAACAAACAAACAATGGCCGACAGCAGATTTGCTTCGCTGAATGAAAGTGAACTCTCCGAATTATTGGCAGATAAGGATAGTGAAAGCACGAAAAAAGCCACAAAGGGGTAAATAGAAGTAGAAATAGAATATTTAGCTGACCTTTGACTTTGTGCAAGGTGTTTGATATTCAAATTGTACTTTTCCTACCTCATGAACAGGAAGCGTTTTATACGTTTGTCATGTCTTTAAATGTATAATAAAACAATTATTGGATTCGGCTTTCGCATGATATCAAGAATTATTCAGACCTCGGTCTATGTTATCCGCCTCAGCTTCGCTTCGGCAGATAACATTGACCTCGGTCTGAATAATTCTTGATATCATGCTCAGCCTCATCCAATAATTGCTTATTATTGTTGTTGTACATTGATTATATCAAGTATAGTGTTTATAGAGATTTTGAGCGTTGATAAAACTGAGGAAATAGGAAGTTAACCCCACTACCCCCTTCGGATGTCCTAATACATTTACTATTATCAGAAACAATTTTTTCTCCCCTTACCCTCCGGACGGCAGAAATTTCCTCCATGGAGGGAGTATGGATCTTTTCTGGAACGACCCAATCTCACATGTGAAAATTATCGCTTTTCAATAATCGCTTTTCTGCAAAACATATCGCTTTTCAAAGACTGTACTTTATATAATAAACAGAAAAATAAACATAAATACTTGGAAATACCAGATTTATTTCTCGAAATAAATCTGGTATTTCCGCACACCCATGTATTATTCTCTATATAAATATATAATATTGTACAGTATTCAGTGGCAAGCTAGTCATGGCAACTCGTCATGCTATGCCCTCTGTGCTAAGCCTATGCTGATAATCTTGCATCTATTTGAATGATACAAATTAATAACTTGCATAACATGACTTGTTGCTATGGCTAGCTTCACCAATGACAGCATTATAAGTATACATAACAAAAGCAAGAAGTTATAAGCATTGAAGGTATTCATATAAAACCACAGGTAGCCAGGCTCTGTGTGGGTATTTATTTATTTTTTAATTTTATTATATTTTGCATTACAAATTTACTTTAATTTTTTAAATTATAACTTACTTAGTTTCCGTTATGTATTCTTTATGTATTTGGGGGTGGTTTTAGTTTTATATAATGATATAAAAACATCATGAGAGTAATGGCAAAGCGGGATCATATAAACAGCCCCTTATTCAGCCAATTGTGCATGCTGCCTTTGATCCCTTGGGGGTGAGGCAGCACTTTCCTTGCGATAGTAACTTCTAGTTTAATAATATAGACATTTCAAAATTCAAATGTTTCAATTCAATCAAAACACGAAACGCCTGCGAACAGGCTATGATGTTTACAATATCCAATCAGAACACGTAGTCTATCGAACCTATAGTCAGCAACCAATCAACTTCTAGGTTCCAATTTTGAAAGTTATGTGTGGAATGTGACCCCAAAAACCCAGCCAATTTCACCAGAGGGTTATTCAAAACAGGCGAAAATAAATACCCTCTGGTTCCAGGGTACTTCCGGACAAGAAGTCGATTACCCAATTAATAACGGATGGATTTATATCCAATTTGCGCATCTTTGTGATTAATATCTTATAGACAGTTTAATCCGATCGAAAGCCTTGCTGAAGTCAATCTCGTACCCAGAGCCAACGATGGCTCTGGGTACGAGATTGTGCTGAAGTCAAGTAGGAATAAACGCATAGGGAGTGGTGTAAGCTAATTAAGCATAGGGAGTGGTGTAAGCTAATTAAGGCATCAACTGGGGAAGAACCGTGAATTGCTCCAAATTTTTGGATCGAGTTGCTGGATTGAATATCTTACTCTGATATTTTCTTTGGGGGGAGGGGAGGGGGGTAAGCCCCTGCAAATTTAAATATCTATATTTTTAAAATATTTAAATTTTGATACCAGACTTCCTCTGCAGACTTCAATGCGCGGTTAAATTCAAGATGGCGGCCAATTCGTATTAAAAAATAGGCAAATAGCATTGTTGACGATTTATTTTAGACGTTGAATGAAAGGGACTCGTGTAGTGTGATACTTTAAAGTAACTTTTAGACAGTGAGGAAAACAGTGGTTATAGTGATGGAAGAACTGGAGCAGTTGGAAAGGCTCTCTCTTGTCTCAAAAATTTGCACTGAGTTGGAAAATCATCTGGGCATCAATGATAAGGACCTTGGTAGGTGATAATTTAAATCGAGTACCTATTCAATCAATAAAATTTAGGTATTTTGTTATTTTAACACCATAAAATGTGTTGCTTTATGGCTCAGTATATACTTTTATATGGACAAACCGTATAGTCAGAAGCCTCGTACAGACGGGCAATATTTTGTTGATAAATTTTCCTTGCCAAGTTTTATTTGCTCACGTGTACAGCAAATAATTGACAGTTTTCTTTGCCAAAGAGTCTTGTTCATGTCAGCACATGCTAGTCATACTAGCTTTTGTACAAGGAAAATTTGTGTTTACGGCCATGGGCCACCAAGGAATTATTTGAGTATACAAGAAATACTTCTAATATTTTGGCAAACAAAAATTGGCCTTGATGTGAGATAAATGTTTAACAACACAAGCAACAAAACTTGGCAAGGAAAATTTGTTGACCATACACACAAAAACCAGGGGTGTAGCTAGTGGGGGGGTGTAACAGCCCCCATTCACAGCAAATGTCTGCTAGACACAGCAAATGTCTGCTAGACATGGCACGGCAAATGTCTGCTAGACACGGCAAATTGTTTTCATAGTCAGCGAAAATATTTGAGTGGCTCGGAAGGCCTAAAAAAATACCTGTGGTTCCAGTTTCATATCACAGGTATTTCTTTTAGGCCTAATAGTTATAGCAAAAATTTTGCTAAATTTACGAAAATTGGGGAAAAAGTTAACAAATTACGATATGTCTGGGAAAAATTTTCATAAGTCCGGAAAAATTACGATGTGTCCGGAAAATTGTTGTATGTGTGAAAAAAATTTTTGGGAAAAAATATTAATTAGTGACTGAACTGTTGTTGGCAAATGCGATACTACACCCTCCTCTTCTTAATCCTCTTTGCTACAGCCCTGACAGAAAGTAAATAATAAATTTGTCAAGGAAAACGTGCTTGTCTGTACTGGGCTTCAATAAGCGATTCTGACCAAACTTGGGTAAGAAAAGAATGGTTGTTCAAGATAGTTTTGCGTCAATACATTTACCATTTATGGACCTGGAGCGTGGGGGTTCAGCGAAATTATTACCCAAAATATAATTGCCGGCCATCTTTGCATGATCGTTGTCAGCATGGTTTATGCAAATCATGTCACCCGGCCAGTGACACGATCAAACTAATTGCCATGTGATATAATTCAAGTCACTTATGTCAAATACGATGACATAAGGTGCAATTCCATCAATGATAAATTTTATGCTCACCTAGCACAAACTTAGCTTTCTGATTGGTATAATTTAAGGTATAATATTATTTATAATATACACAGCTGCCTGCAAATTTTCCGCCGCTTGTAAACACGGAAATTTTTCTTATCCTTCGGGCTTTTGACATTGGTCATCGGACATTGTCACTTTGCCAAATTTTACATTTTGTCCGGTCACAGGCCTGCAAATTAGTGCCGGTCATCGGACATTGTCCTGCCAAATTTTACATTTTGTCCGGTCAAAGCTTTGTATGACTGGACATGTGACTGACAGATTTAGGCTCATGGTCAAATCTCCTATCTAAAAAAATGGTTTATTTAGCACATTTTTTATTAATGAAACCAAGAAAGAAAGCAATATAGACAGCACTTCTCCAAGTTCTCCACTATTTCTTGCTGCATTAAGATCTAATTATAATTAAAATCTAAAGTTATATGTATAACCTGAACTATAATTTATACTCATGATGCATTAGAACTAGTAGATATATGCTCAGTTTTAGATGCATTGCACTGCGGACTAACATGACCAGGCAAAAAACATGCTAATTTTAAAAAATATGAAAAAATTTTACTTTGTTGTCCGAGAAAAATTTATAAATGTCCGACCAATGTTTGAATTGGCCAGACATTTGTCCTTGCAGGCCTGAAATACCATTTATCATTTGTATAGATGCAAACAGTAGGATCATGCGTCGATGTTACTGTGAACTACTTTTTAGTACTTGCATTATGCTTAGCTGGATTTAGGCAAGGCATGAGAAAGTCCAGCAGCATGCTGCCAGGAAATTTTCTTAATTTCACAGGAAATTTTTCAGGAAAAGCAAGATATCAAGAATGAAGCTCGAGAATTTCAAAAATCAGCATTAAATTAACAAACATCACAATTAGAGCATAAATACAACAATCATAACATAAAAAATTGTATCATGTGGCAGTGCTACGACTGTCTGTTATCATGATTCATGTTTATGATACATGTGATGTGGAAAACAAGGTGTACTACTATTATTGAATAGTGCATGCATACTGATATAAATTCAGATTTACAATCTGAAAAAAGAATTCATAATATATTGTTTCATAGAATTCCTTCATGTTCCTAATTCTAGTAAACCTATATTTTTCTTAATATTGAGGTAGTATACTAGTATATGACTTATTAAGGTAGTATATACGACACTGTTATTGAATTACAACCAAAATTCATATTTATAAAAAAAAAATTAGCAGGAAATTTTAGGTCTGGGAAGCCTGCTGCCAGGAAGAAAAATATTTTATCAATGCTTGGATTTAGGTATAGCAAATATGATCGGGTCTGCTTGCTGCTTGCTTCTCAACTACAATTGACCAAGACTTCATGCAATACTGAAATAAAACTTGACCAAAATCTCCTGAAAATACATACTGTACGCCCGATATATATGTGTGATATTAGGTTTTAAGGTCCAGACACACCGGGCACGATTCGACAACGCGACGCGATTTCAGTTTTTGAGAGCAAATTTTGAATGATACTGTATGTAGACCAAATAACTCCAAATGTTATAGCGCTTCTAAATATTTGGAAAATTTAAACTAGGATCAAAGTTATCGGTCAGTGAAAATCGAAAAATCGCGTCACGTTGTCGAATTGCATCCGGTGTGTCTGGACCTTTACTGTATTTTATTCCAGCTTTGAAAGTTCCATCAGCCTGCGCAGATATGCAGGGTGTTCGCTACAGTCAAAAATTCAACGCGGTTTTCCCAATTACCTTGAGGTCGCAATTTCCCAATTTGGGTCAGCCAAAAATAGTTATAGAAATTCAATGTTGTTAATACGCCATTAAAAACATGTTTATAACTACATTTGCTCAAAATTACTCCCAAAATGCGGGAAATGCCATTTCAAAGACACAAAAATTTTAAAAATCGAGAGGGCAACCGCGTGCCCCCAGACCCACAAAGAAATGCCCGGCTTCAGGTTAAAATAAATTTCCCAATTTCAGGTGAACGCGGATTTCTTTTTACTTCTGGCTAACACCCTGATATATATCAGGCCAATTGAAAACAAATATAAAACATTTTTTCCGTATTGATATACAGTTATATCAACACCCGTGGAAATTGGGAAAACTCGAAATTGTATGAAAACACGGAAGAGATTATTTCGCTGGCCTCAGAGTCAGAGTGACAAAACGTAACAAAGCAACGGGTTTACTAACACTAACCCTACTCCAAACAACAGCGCCCTGCCTAACCCTACTCCAAATTTGTTTCTAAACCAATCTTGAAGAAAAAAGATTTGACGAAATGTCATTCTGAGGTCGGCGAAATAATTGATGCCTGAAAACACTCCGCCCTTCGGGCGTCGTGTTTCCACACAATTTCTCGTTTTCCCAATTTCCACTTTCCCAATTTCCACATTCCCAATTTCAACCGTATATCAACACGGAAAATGTTTTATATTTGTTAATAAGTACACACGTATTGTTGGGTGCAGACCTTAATGATTGGCAGACATAGCTGACATACATGTATGCAAACGAAAATGCCCTAAATATTAACATATATGGTGTGTTCCATTCATGTTTTAAAAGTTTAAAAGTACACTGAAGCCTGAAGGCATGTCTTATTTTTTACCATTAGTTGAGGGTCGTCCACACCAATGTTTTCGGAGTTTTGACTGGCCACAATAGCAATTGGAAAACGATTTTTTAGTATTTTCGATACTTATTTATTCATTGTATTATGCAAAATCTTACAATAAAACCAGGAACATTTTTGCAGAGGAAGAGAGAAATTCATCGACTTCATTCTATTACTTGCTGATAATAGAGCTTCTAATGACTTTCCGATTTCTGACCAGGATAAATTTAAAACAACCTAAGACATAGTGTAGAGCATTATGTTTTTTTTGCTTTTTTGCGAGACAAGTAATTCATCTGAAATTAGAATTGAAACAACCTTTTTAAAAACCTTTGTTTTCACCTGGCCACACCAATACGCCTCAATTTTCAAAAGTCTCAATTTTCAAAGCCTTTTTTGAAAAGCTCTGATTTCATTGATGAAGATATCTGTTTCCCATCGTATTGTTGTCAACGGTCGGTGAAAATGCATAAAATGTATGTATGTGTTTTGAATTGAAAAAGGATTTGTGTGGAAGGTCCTGAGACATAAATATGTTGTGATTATTTAGCTGAGTTCATTATCATGCTTGGAGAAACCAACGAAACACTGGGAAAGTTTAAAGCAGCACTCAAACAAAATGGAGCAGAATTTCCTGTAAGTGCGTTTTTATTGTAAGTGAAGAATTGAAATGTTGCTTAAACAATAACCCTATATAACAGCCATACAGTATGGACGAAAAATAATGGATTCCTTTGAAAAAATAATGGAAAATTTGACCATCCGCTTCTATAACTGAATTAAACAGTCCACAGTTTGACGTTTGGACATTTTTTGAGTCGGGAAACATCAAGTGGTAACAAGGATTTTTGATCATGTGACCCTGATACCCTTTAATAAACAAATTAGCTTAGTTTACACAGTATAACTAAGCCAAAAAGGGTCAGAGACACAATATGTTAATTGGCGACCAAGTTAAGCCCCATTACCCATTGACAAACAATATAGATTTAATATATCATATATAATTTAAGTACAATGTTTTATGGATTATCTTCTAGGATTCATTTTCCGCCAATCTCCTGCGTCTTATCCAACAAATGAAACCAACATCAGCAGCAAAATCTGAGAACAATGGTGAGTCATTCTGTCATTGCGTGATACATGTACATTAATGCGAAATTTCCGTGCATGAAATGACTTTGATCTAGACTATAATGGCCATGAAGTGGCCACAATACGTACCCTGTGGAAACGGAGATGACAGCAAATTTATGAAATCATACGTTATGTACGACCTCCGTATAATTAGGTCATCAATATCACAATAAAGGGCTCTAAATCAGATACATGTATCTAGTAAAGTACATTCTGAAAGGGTCTATTGTGTTAGCCAGCAGGATTAAAAGATCAACTATATGATATTAATATTGTAATGGATGTATTTATACCATACTTTAAAATCAAAATACATATTCAGTTCATATTCAAGGAGTTTGATAATTTTATGTACATTAATTATGCTATCATGGTTATTGAATAATTATAGTAGACGATGATGATGCCGAAGTTGATGAAGAGTTGTCAAAGAAGAGAGAAAAGTTTCGTGGTCTTTGTTTGCCTGACGAAGAAGCACAATTAGTAAGTTTACAATACTGTAGTGCTGTTACTGTTATAGTAGAATGTCACACAGATGCGGCATTGAATAAATCTTAACATGTCCAATGTGGTTAATGTCTAAGAAGGTGGTATACTGGTATGTTAAAGTTCTTAGTTGACGGCCAATAGATCGAGTGCTAGTGGTAGCAGAGAAATAAAAAAACCACTGTCGCGTTTGTCATTTGATCGCATCGACAATACTACCTCCTCGTATTTTTTTTCAATGGGAAAGAAAGTTATCACGTTATGCACGGGCTGTTTTGTTGATTCGATTATTGTGAAGAATAATCGATTGCCAAAAAAGAATAATCGATTGCCAAAAAAGAATAATCGATTGCCAAAAAAGAATAATAGATTGCCAAAAAAGAATAATCGATTGCCAAAAAAGAATAATAGATTGCCAAAAAAGAATAATCGATCGCCAAAAAAGAATAATCGATTGCCAAAAAAAGAATAATCGATTGCCAAAAAAAAAATAATAGATTTCCTTAAAAGAATAATCGATTGCCAAAAAAGAATAATAGATTGCTAAAAAAGAATAATCGACTGCTAAAAAAGAATAATCGATTGCCCAAAAAGAATAATCGATTGCCAAAAAAGAATAATCCACTGCCAAAAAAGGAAGCAGCTCTATACTGTTCATGTATGTCATTTGTCCATGCCATTTATAATTCAAATTTTCAAGTGTAGTATTTCCCCATAATTAATCTGACAATCTTTTTTATTTTCTTGGAGGAGGAAGAAGAGAAAGCGGAAGATAAAGATGAAGCGGTTGTTACGCAAGCAATGGGAGAGGTACGCATCTTAGTTTATTCTGGTGTGGTTTTGAACAGGGTGCGATAATCCACGATTTTTAGTCGTATCTGACTGGTACGCCAATGATTATTGCCGCGTTCTTGCGCTAGAATAAACTCAATACTCAATGTGTACTTAGTCTTTATACAAAAAGTAAATAAAGAACAAGTTTCCGAAAAGTATATTCAAACTACTATACAATCGACCTCAACATGCCTTAGTGCTGTCAGTCCAATCACGTTTCATGCCAAGACATGTCAGACTTACACATATTAAGGTGATATTGTGACAAAAGTTAAGTACGCAGATAGCAAGAGTACCGCGTACCTACGTGGTACGTGGCTGGAAATAAAGAAGAACCAGACCGTAATATTGGCGTACCTCCGGTATGCAAGTACTCGAATTATCGCACCCTGGATATGAAGGTAGAATGTCAAGCTCCAAAGACAACTGTTGCAATCAACTGTGAAATGTTTATATTATAGCTGGAAGCACTGATGGCTAAAGCAAAAGAAGATGAAAGCAAATCAAAAAGGTACAGTGTATATTTACAATCTCGAATGCTCGATCCCAATACAGGTAGCGAAGAATACAAACTGCGAACATGTGTAGAATGTATATTTTTCAGGTAGTTGCATCAATTCAGGGCTCATCAAACTTATTTAGTGCCTGCGAGCGAACTTAACTTCGTAATGGAGACAGTTAGTCCTGGAGACAAACATTTATTTCTACAAGGTGTTTGAAATCATGTTATTTAATTCCTTGACATCTGTCCATGCGAAGTCTGCGGAATAGAGAGCATGGGGAACTTAAGATAAAGAGTAAAAAGTTTTAATTCAAGAGAGTAATACATAGTCCTGATACAGTACATGCATTATTCCATAATTCTATTATAACGAAGTGTGACATGCTCGACTTAGGTTTTTACTCTAGAATACAAAATTGTAACATTTGACTCCAAAAGAGAAACCATACGACGCAGCTCCATCCAATCTGCCCAAGACCTTTGAACAAGGAACTCAATGACTTGCATGCCATATGTTTGTACTGTAGTACTCTACTTACAGTAGGCAGTTAGGTGCAGAACGTCAATTACAGCACGGATTACAATACCTGATTAACCAGGTGACTGTTTCCCTGTGTACGTGCAGTACATGAGAAATATGTGGATTATTTTGCAGTAAGAAAACAGAACGTGAGAGCAGTCGCAGTCCACGTAGACACCGAAGACGATCTCGGAGTAGAAGTAAAGAACGAAGGAGCAGACGGTAAGAAAATCTGCCTTGAGTAAATTATTGCAATTCTCGAAGGACAACATTTCGCCATTTCAACCTATAGTGCCTCCACCACAGTTGATTCAATCTTGCCACATACAGTAGGGCCAATTCATATGAGCTGAGTTGTCCGGGAATCTCAACTAAGTGGAATGAATTATTTCTGTGATCGCGTAATTAGTCCTCTATTAACTATGGCCCATCTAATATCCCATCGGTAGGATCAACTTTCAAAAACATGCCGCCTTCGTACAGATGCGGTATATCTCACCCCGAAGCGCGAGATGAACACACAATCATGATTTTTATCATCATTAACAATGACATGCGGATCTCACTCAAAAACGTTAGCCGGTTAGCTGGGCTCATATGAACACGCCCTTACATGACAAATTCATGCATTCGAGGTACGACCTAACGAGTTTGCACGATATACTACCGCTAGGGCTGGACCAACGGGTTCTTCGAAAGCCTTTTAATAACCTGAGTTAACGAAATGCTTCGAAAGTTCCAAAGACTGTTAATAAACTTCAAGATTTTTTTTTCAAGAAATGATGTCTGAATCAATAAAAATCTTATTTACTGCAGTTTTGAAATAACCATACAGTACGTGCGAAATACACAAACCATAACAGCGAGTTAAATGTTAAGCCAGGATTAGCGCTAATTGAGCGTTGGAAAACTGGCCCCTGTGGGGGATAGGAACGTCATACCATCAGACTATGGTTACGTATATAGATGCGCGAGGTTTCTAGGCGAAAGGTCAATGCCTGTGCCTGGCCTGCGTAGCATGGATGACAGAGGTTGAGATCCTAGGTGAAGGCGTTACCTGCATGTGACTGGAGCTAACTGCAAACCTGCATGGGTCAGAAGGTCTTGTGCACTGCTTGTACAGTATAGCAGAAAATGTTTGTCTTTTCCAGAATCATTTTGCAATATTTACTGAACAGTATTATTTTGCAATATTTAATAGTTGACTTTCTCAGGCCCTTTTTCCCAGGCGGCCCGTCGCAACTCGAAAGCTGTAGCCTAGTATACGCGGTCCCAAACTCCTCCGGCTGCGAGTACAAATTATTTTGTGTTACCTGCAAAAAAGTAAATATACAGGCATGCTGCGTACCTGGCGGTTTTAAGGGGTTGCGGTTTGAATCCCGCGCCTAAACCCAACCCCTTAAAATCGCCAGTTACATGCATAGACTACCTGGGCCTGGGTATATGAGATGTAAATAACATCGGCATTGTTTGAATTTACCAAATTTTTGTTTGATTTGTATATATTGTGTACTAGATCGAGATCTCGAAGTCATGAAAGAGATCGGGACAGAAGAAGACGTAGATCAAGAAGTACGGAGAGAAGAAGAGGAGATGATGATCGATCTAGCAGGAAAGAAAAGAGAAGTGAAGGAAGATACGGAGGATCATCTCGAGTAGAGAAACCTCTACCTGACAAACCTACTGTTAACCAGGTAACACCGCAGTATACATAGTTTTAATAACGTCAATTTGATCATAGGTTTAAATTCTCTTAGAATATGAGTAATTTGCTAAGGATTATTGTGCAGCACATGTTGATCACCAGGCAGTAATCAAAGTAAGAGAATAATGTTATTTCCATATCGTTCTAATTAATGTGGCGTTCTTTTATTTGGAAGCAATAAACTTCATACTATCACTGTCAACAGCTCTGAAGATGCTACACAGTAGCACTCTCTGTATAGGAGATGAAATTTTAAAAGATTTTTAGTCGCCCAAGTGGCGGCTACCATGCAGTCAATAAACTAAGGTCGCCAAATTTGATATCAATGTGTTATAACATTTGTACAGCACATACTGGATAACTTAAGAAAAACATTTGTTTAATATGTTGGGAAATTTTATGAAATGTTTGAAGTTTGAACACCAAGATATTTAAAGGCTTTAGAATTTCTTTAAAATTTTAAGTTTTTTTTCTCAGTTGCCACGAGGAAAATGTCATTGGTCACCAGATTGGCCACCAGAAAGTTTGCCGTATTGGCGACCTAGGGCCCTCATTTCAACCCCTGAACCTGTTTGTGAACCTTGCATTGAATATGGGTTTCTTAAACCTATTCTGACGGCAAATAACAGTAATAGCAGTGTCATGTTAAAACAGGATATCCAGTAAGAGAACTTGCGTCACTGAGGAAAAACACATACATGCACTAAACATAGTGTCACAACGCCCCCACTACTCTATAGGTAGTACAGGATCAAATAACAAAACACTTTAGGACAGGTCGAAATATGGGTTGCGACAAACGAGTCTTTTTAAAATGCATATTTCTTATTTGCATATTTCGTAGATTTACGATGGAAGAGTTACAGGAATCATGCAGTTTGGTTGCTTTGCTCAGCTGGAGGGACTTCGTGGAAGAAATGAGGGGCTTGTTCACATCTCAGAGGTACAGAACAATTATGGTTGACTAAAGATTATATATAATGCCTGCATGGCTTACAGAGCATTTTTAATAGAAATACTGAAGTGTACCATTATATACACACGCATAGCCTCAGCATCATTCGTTTTGTTTCGTTTGAATTTATACAGCCTTATTAATGTTCAAAATTTCTGTATTCTGCATCTGGTCAATTGTTAAGAATGCTTTTTGTGCTTTTGGGACGTAATCGAGGTTTTGATTCTAAGGAAAAGAATTGACTGCTCTTTTCGCTCACCCCGCGAAGTTTCGTTCAAGAGAAGTAGCCAGGATTTAATAATACTACCAGCGAGTATAAGCAAAAGTTATACAGTGGTAATTTTTAAATATTCCCAGTGTGGCGTGTTCAATATAAAGACTTGGTGTGAAAACTGGACCATGTAGCTTAGTTGGTTAGAATCGGACCGCCGCAGGTCCGATTCCTACCGGACGGGGGGGGGGGGGATAAAGGGGTTGGCAACTCCTCCTTGTTAGGTCTAATAAATGTATATAAAAATTACGTTATAAACAACATATACTGTATAAATCGCTGAGTCATATGTATTGCTGTATTGCAGGATGCCCCGATATTCCCGTATTTAAAATATGTGAGGTTTTTCAAGTTTCTGCACAGTTGCAGTTAGCGAGGATTTTCAGTATATTAAATTAATAATTTCTTTAGCTTCGTCAAGAAGGCCGGGTAGCTAACGTTGCAGATGTTGTAAGCCGAGGTCAGAAAGTCAAAGTGAAAGTTTTGTCTATGACTGGCACGAAAATTAGCCTGAGTATGAAGGTATGTATATTTATATTTTTGCTTTTAACATAAAAGTAAACTTAGTAGTAGGTGAAACTGGACACAAATTATGTCTCATTCACGACCTTCCTAAACAAAGGAATGACCTACAGGGGGCGGCTTAAGGAAAGGCAAGCCACCGGATGGCAATTTTTCTAGCTTTCTAAAAAATTAATTATCTCTTGATTGATATAACTCAGATTAAAATTTAGATTTATGAGTTAATGTTTTTTTACACTTCTTTTGACGTTTATAACCGTAGTTTTGCAGCTTTTCAATAATTTTTA